TGGATATAGTGACCACCAATGCGCCCTCTCTCCCCTTCTCTAAGCCTCTATGGATCAAGTCGCATCCCCGCCCAGGAAGAGCACCTGGCGCAGCGTCGCCATTGCAGGGACATGCACCGCTGCAATGATTGTAAATGTGCGTCGCGTTTTCCTCCAAAATCAGTTATACTGACTTGGGAAACGTCACACCAGAGCTCGAACAACACCTCCGTCGCAATCGCGCTCCCCACCATCGGCGCCGCCCTGCACGCGCGCGCCGCCGCGCTCCAATGGCTCGTCTCCGCATACCCCCTCAGCTCCGGCTGCCTCCTCCTATTCTGCGGCCACATCGCGGACGTGCACGGCCGCAAACGCGTCTTCGTCGCCGGCAGCGGCGTATTGTTTGCGTTCACGCTTGGGTGCGGGTTCGTGCACGACGAGGTGACGCTCGCGGTGCTGCGGGGCTTGCAAGGCATAGGAGGCGCGGCGACGATTCCCGCGGCAGTACGCGTTTATTCGATGTACCTCGAGAGCACGGAGCTAATGAGGAGTCTAGCTGGGGATCCTCGCGCACGAGTTCCCGCCCTCGTCAGGGCGCGCGCGTGCCGTCGCGTTTTCGTCATTCTCTGCCGGCGCGCCGCTCGGGGGCGCGCTGGGCATGGTCCTCGGCGGCCTCGTTACGCAGCTTTCCAAGTATGGTTTACTACCCTCCAAAATTTATTACTTAGTTCAATTTCAGATACACCTGGCGCGCCCAGTTCTTCCTCACCGCTGCGATCGCGTTCGCCACGCTCCTCAGCGGCATCTACGTCATCCCGCCCGACCCTCCCTTGGTTCTACGCCGCCGTCCCGCGCCCGCGCCCGCGCCCCCTCCTCCTCCTCCTACCGCGCCTGCACCCTCAGCGGCAGCTGAAACGAAACCCACGGCACACACATACCCGCCTTCCCCCACCTCCAAATCCGCCCCCGCCGCCGCCGCCCCCGAGCTTCCACCGCACGAACGCGACCGCGACACACGCACCGACTGGCCCGGCGCGATCCTCTCCGCCGCAGGGCTCATCCTGCTCGTCTTCGTCCTCGGGCAGGGCTCGGGCCCGGGCCTGCCACCGCCGCGCATGAGCGCGAATGCGGACTCGTATATGGAAAATCTGTCCGCGCGATCCACCATACCCATCCCAAGCTCCCTCTCGCAAGGCGGGGACCTCAATCTAAATCTAAATCTAGTCGGACGAGAAGTGGGGGTAGACCTCCCCGCGGCTGCGCTCCTCACTTCTCAGGGCCTCGAGACGCTTGTTCCTGGAGACTGGGAGGGGATGGATCTGGCCGCTGGCTATCCCTATCCCGATTCTCGTCCCCATCCGCCGGCGCACGACTCCGAGCCCCCGCCCCCGCCGGGCGCGTTCCTGCACTGGCTTCTGCATGCGGAGCCGCCGCCGCCGCCGCCGCCGCATCACGCGCCTCCGCATCACGGGCACGGGCCTCCGCACGGCCCTCCGCATCACGAGCACGGGCCCCCGCGGCGTCGGCAGCCCCGCTCGCACTCCGCATCCGACGTAGACGTAGACGTAGACGGAGACGTGGAAATCGACACCGACACAGAGGGCATCCCCGCGTTGTGGCGCGTGCAGGGAGAGATTTCGGAGGGTGCGTTTATGGAGGAGGAGGAGGGAGAGGAGGACTTTGAGTTTGAGTTTGGCTTGGATGAGGATGAGGATGAGGATGAGGATGGGGGTCCGCACGAGCACCCGCACTCGCACCACCACGGAGATGAGCATCGTGGCCATGGACCGCACGCGCACGACGGACACCACGGCGAGGACGGGCCGCGCGCGCACCACGGCGGCCCACCGCAGCACGGACCCCATTCGCACCACGGCCACGACCACGGCCACGACCACGGCCACGGCCCGCCGCACCCCCCTCCCCCACACGGCCTCGCCGCGCTATTCGACTGGCTCTGGGGGCCGCCGCGCAAACACGGACACCCCCCGCACGGCCACGGACACCCCACGCACCAACACGGCGCGCGGCAGCAGCCCGCCCCGCCCGGCGGCGGGATGTTCCCCTACCCGCCCCCGCCGATGCCCATGCACGAAGGCGGCGCGTGGGGCATGGCGTGTGAGTTGCTTGCTCTTTGCTCTTTCCTCTTTCCTAATAATAATAAATCATGATGATAACGGTGTACTGACGCGCGCTTCGCCCGCAGACATCGTCTCCCTCCTCGTGCTCTCCCTGCTCCTCCTCGCGCTCTTCGCGCTCTGGGAGCTCCGCCTCGAGCGGCTGCGCGCGCGCCTCCCCGGGGGCGACCCCTCCGCCCCGACTGCACGAAGCACAAGCACACAAGACCGACACGAGGAAGACGACGCCGGCCGGCGCTCGTCTGCGTCCTCATCCTCCCTGCCCCTCCCCTCTGCAGGGGCGCCCGCGCCCACCAAGTCTCCCCCCCGCAACGCGCTCACCACCTTCCTCGCGACGAACCGCCACGTCCGGGCCGCGCGGGCGTACGCGCCGCCGCCGCTGCTGCCGCCGTCGCTGTTCGCGCGGCGCCGCGCGCGCGTGGGGGTGGTTTATGTGATTGCGCTGCTGCAGTTTGGCGGGTTTATGATTTGGGCGTTTTGGGTGCAGGTGCGTTCGTTGCGTCTTCTTCTGCCTCTGCCTCTCCCTGTCCCTCCCTCTTCCCTCTTTCTTCCCTTTCCCTCTCCCTCTCCCTCTTTCTTTCAAATCGAATCGCATCGAATCGAATCGAATCGAAATGCTAATATGATGACTCGTCAGCTATACTACCAAATCTACATCGGCTACTCGCCCGTGCGCACGGTCGTGCGGCTGACGCCCATGTTCGTGACGGGGCTGATATGCAACGTCGTCGTCGCGCTCATCGTCGGGCGCGTGCGCACCGTGTGGCTGCTTGGTGCGTCCCCCCCCCTCCCTCCCTCCCTTTGTTTTGCCCCTGACGAATACGAAATTTCACACTCGCATGCAGCCTCCGGGACGCTCACGACGACGCTCGCGCCGCTGCTGTTCGCGCTCATCCGCCCGGCGGCGCCGTACTGGGCGTTCGGCTTCCCCGCGGCGGTGTGCAGCGTCGTCGGCGCGGACTTTTTGTTCGCGGCGGGGACGATGTTCGTCGCGGACTCGGTGGGGCCCGGCGAGCAGAGCGTTGCGGGGGGGGTGTTTCAGACGATGACGCAGGTGCGCCTTCCCATCTTCGTGGTTTTTCGACCTAGTGCTAATAACATAACGCACGCACATAGCTCGGCACCTCGCTGGGCGTCACAGCGTCGACGATTCTGTTCAACCACGTGCAGCAGCAGACTACGATGACGGGCGGGGACACGCTGAGTTCGTACCATGCTGCGATGTGGATGGGCGTTGGGTTCGGTGGGCTGGGTGAGTGGGCCTTTGTTTTTGTTTCGTCGCCACCGCCGCCGCAGTGCAGTTACTCATTACAAAGTTTCTGGTTCTGCGTATAGCGACGCTCCTCGCGCTTGTGTCCTTCTGGGGAGTCGGTGTTCCTGGGGGGCCGCCCGGGGGCGGCGTCGAGAAGCCAGAAGCACAAGTACAGACGCAGGCGTAGCATTCACTATGACTATGACTATTTTAATCGCCGTTGGCTTTAAGTAGTCGCTGGAACCAACAGACGACCTGTACAAGACGCATACTTAATGGGTGGTTTATTTATTCATATGTACTATGTACTACTTAGAACCCAGATAACTTATTCGTATTCATCCGTGTAATTAATGCATGCTTTGAGATGGTTTTTTCCACCCACCAGTTGGTTGCAGAACAAGTACTAGTACTAGTTGGGCACTGGGAATTTAAGAATTCTGTCGGTGGGAGAGGGGGCTGTCCTTAAGCGCTTGTCTGGGGCGGTGGGAAGGGTTCGTGTCGTGCTCTGTATGCCGGAATTTTTTGTCGCTGGCAAGAAGAGAGCTCGATTCTGACGACGATACTTAGAGGAGAGTGGTGAGCGCCGGCACAGACGGCCATCATCTATCGGTAATCGGCGGCTCAACGACTCTGACACTTGCGATCACCTTGTTTCTGGCGTCAACCTACAACCCATCCTGTGCGCAACGAGCGGCTCAGAAATCATGATTCTATCCTCCACAGACTCGGCTTAATGGAGGTTCCGGCTTTCGCAACGGTGACTGTGAAGGCTGTCGACTGTTGAGACCGCTGTTTGGCTTAGCTACAATCGCACAATCGCTCGCTGCTGGTCTCGAAAGACGCTTCTGAGGACTCAGACCAGGTTCCCCGCCTTCATCAACGAGCGGACTCGCCTTTCTCATCAACGAGTTCTCGCCGCCCAATTGTTCTTGTTACTTTGTTAAAAAGTCAAGACTTATGAAAATCCACCAAGCCTGCGCACTGGGCACCTACACTTATCGCGCAAACCAGGCTCAAATACCATGCCCGTTTCCCGGATGTACTACGGCCAGGTGTTCGAGGGAAGATACCCTGCAGGCACAGTGAGCTGATTTGCTTATATGTAGGGGGATGTCCGTCGTTCGTTCTTCTATTCATCATTTCCAACTGGTAAAATGGGAAGCTGACACCGCATACGCAGCTATCGCATCCACTTCACTGTCTCACCACGGCAGAGGAGCCGACCTACACCTGGTTCGCAGTCGCGTGTCGACCCCGTCTTCCTCGTCGGGCTGACCGCGATTTGCTCTACATGTAGGCCACTGTCACTGCTCCAACTTGGAACCGGAAATCAAACTGGAGAATATGAAGTATAACACTGCGATTCCAAGGTGTGTGGTCAGGATGTGCTGTATTCCCGATCGGTAGAATGGACTACCTTGGTGCTCGGAGAGCGTGATACGGAACCTGAAGGCAGAGAACCCTAGGGCGCAAGACTGGCGCTGGAATCGTCAAAAAATTTCCCTTGACCAAGCCATTTATGTTCGATGTTTCTTGTAACAATATGGATGTTCCTTTTGTATTTCAGAACGTAATGTCTCGATCCTGAGTTTGTCGAAGGGGCGGGGAAATTTTTTGGCCTTCCTCATGGTTGTGTAGTGTAGTGGTTATCACTCGAGATTTTGAAATTAAACTTCTCGTAACCCCGGTTCGAACCCGGGCACGACCTGCCCTATTTTTTCTCACCATGGGGGTGAACGGTGGCCACACTTTCCTTGTTTCCTTTACCCTTATGTATCTTCTCGGAGGTCGGATGTGGGGCAATTGAAGAGTCCGCCGAAATGCTCGCAATACCCGCCGAGGAAATCCAACCCATCTTTTTCAGCAGTGCTTCCCTCGTTTCAACCTAGAACATATTCGCAGGGTTTCAGCTTAGACTCTTCAGGAGTGAGACATGTTTTTTATCTTGAAACTACTTTCGCTTTAGCGATACCAATCTGGCTTTCTGCGCGTCTGCACCAGTTCGATCGCTACATAGGAATGCCCCACCGCAACGAAATGTCGATTCCGATTCAAACGTGCGCAAGTCAGCATTAGTTCAACTCAACTGGAGATACTACATGTATCCAGCAAATGGGAAACGATGTTTGTTTACTTGATCATCACTGCGACGCGCTGTGGTCAGATCCGCAAATGCCATGGAGACGATACAGACTACTGCGATCTTGATGTTACAGTTGTGCTTGAATGGTTCGCTTCAATGTACAGTGATCGTGACGCGCGTGGGTACGGCTATAGTAATATATTGCGAGCGAGTTGAGGCGAGAAGCACTCACACGTTTCGCACATCCTGTCTTTTCCTATCAACAGCCGATTGCGGAGAAACAATTTGCTTCATCACTGATCTTCGGAGTTCGTCGTCCACAATAGTACTTACAGGCAAATATTAATGTCGCGAGAAATTGCCAATCTTAGGTCGCGGTGTGCAAGAGTGGCATGGGGCAGGGAGCGTCAGATGCATTTTTTCATCCCGGGATATGATCCAATGGAAAAGCATATGCATGATGTCTTGATTCAGCTTTCGGCATTGCGGGAAACTTGATTAAATAGAGTTCGTTCACATGACTGATGACTCGGAGGATGGACGCCGCCAAGCGCGGTTGTCCATACCCCTTCGCCCTGTCTCGGTAACCCAGCCGTTCTCGTGACAATCCGGACTGCACCGTGATTGACGTCGGAGATCGAAAAAAAAAGTGCAGAGATTGTCACTAGAACTCTGCACTTTCTTTTTCAATCTCCGACTTCAATCACGCAGATCACACCGGACGTCTGGGTTACCGAGACAGCCCTTCGCCATGTATTCTTTTGAATGCGATCTGAGGGCACAAAAATGCCCTGCCCTTTACCCTAAGCTACTATTCCTTGAACCCCAAATTAGTGCCGGCAAGGTTCGGTCCGGTTCAGGTTCAGGGCCTTTCGCCCTGAACGCCGAACCTGAACGCGGCGTTGGGTTCGGGCAACTCCCGAACCCTGAACCTGAACGCGCGTTCAGGTTCAGTTCAGCGTTCGAACGCGTTCGAACCTACGGCCCTTCGGGCATCTCGGGCGGCCTAAACCTCCCTGAAACTATCACTTATCGAGATTTTCAGTGCTCCAATGATTGGAACAGGGTTCCCACATGCCTTTGCTAGTGCCGACATACCTACGAACGATAAATTATACTCGCGCAAGTTTGCTAGAAAATTGACAACAACAGTCATCAATTACCATCGAAATTGCTTTGAATTTGACCCGGAGAGAAGGCTTAGATGTGTTCTGCGATTGATAAATACTCGGGCTGTGCAGTGTGAGGTAAACCGAGCCTGAACAGTGGAGAAACTCTTGTAGAAATCACTCACCTGACCAATTTGTAGGTTCGGCGTTCGAACGTGCCTGCTCTCCGCCGAACGCTGTAGCGAACATTTGGTTCAGGTTCAAGTACTCGCTTAACCTGAACGCCGAACGCGCGTCCGGTTCAGCTTCGGTTCAGCTTCGGACGGATGTCCGAACTGAACCTTGCCACCACTACCCCAAATTATTCTCTCCGCTGTTCGACAATACCCTTTTACCTTTCACCACATCGTCATGCGTTCAGGGTGTGTGCCCATGGCACCGTTGACCGCTGCAGTTTCCCTGGGGTGCCGTGCACAATAATTCTCGACAAATTCAGTAACTGTGCTTCTGGGTTTGCTGCTGTGTGTGTAGACGGCAAGTGCGCTGGGTACACGGCTATTATGAATGTGCAGTCCGAAATAATAAAGAGGTTTTAGCGCTGTTGGATCCTCATGCGGTAGCATTGATAGTGGCGGGTACCAAGGCAAAGCGGAAGTCGCCCCGGCCCTCGCCTTCGTGCGGGACACTGGCCGCTTTCCCGGATACGACGTGTAACGAGATCCTTCCCCCCCACATACTTACTTTTCTTTTCTTTCCTCTCATTAGATAGCTCAATAGACGCTCCATTTCTTTCCTTATCCTCCTCCAATATTATTTCACAAACTCACACATATGTACCACGTACACCCGCGGCACCCTCCCCACAGAAACTCCGCACTCTCGCGCCCCCACTACATGTGTTTACTTTTCTTGCCAGCCAGTAGATACACTGTCACCCTACGTAAAGTGCGACATGGGCCCCTTGGTATAATGGAACCATGAATGAATGCGGTCCCAATTACAAATTACATTTTGAAGGGTGCTTTTACCCAAAATACATCGGCCTGTAACTGTAAAAAGGCTTCCAAATTGTGTAGCTTAACACTCATTCATTTTTCCCTGTAGATGGAATAGGGTGCGGTTCAGACCCTCTTTGTGGGGAAGCTGCAGCCACAATCATTGACAATGAACACTTGGATGTTGGACCGGATATCGGAAGGGATTACTGCGTTTCAGGTGCATCACAAGCGAGGGATCGATAAACCGGCCTAGTGAATTCGTTCTTTGACGCACTAGGTGTTAACACTCTCCCAAACCCAAGCTCATTGGTCCAGATGTGCGCGGATGGTCCAGCCCTGGTTATATGCAGCGCTTTCTCTTCCAATATCTGCCCCTCAGCCACCCTCCCTTCTACCGTTCCGACCACAACCGGTCACAAGGCGAAGCCTGTAGCCGCTCTTGTTGGGGGAAGTTAACCGTCGGCGGTGTGGGTGTTATTTTGGTCCATTCGTCATCTTCCTCTGGCAAAGAAGGAGAGGGAAACCAGACTTATCACCCATCCCGGACATGACTAACTCATGTGTTTTTCTTCCCTTTATCAGCCCCATGCTGCCCTATGTTCCCTTGGGCGCTATCAATCCTTTCGAATCAGATCATACTATCCCGCGGTCGTACAGGAGAATGGGCAAGAAGAACCTGGTGTCGCCTGGGTTGTTGTATCCGAAGGGCGCGAGCCCCGCGACGTTAACCTCGTCAGGAATAATTCCAGGTCGCAGCAGAAGCATCAGTTTCCGGGACTGCATGGCCATCTATACAACAATTTAATGCAGCTCCAACACCGCAGCAATTCAAACACCGCCCCAGTTAGGAATTCTCCAACAGTGCCGTGAACACGGGTCGAACCGTCATTCCATAATTCACTCCTATGCGAGGAAGCGACAGTCAGATTTCAGTCACCAGCCTCAATTGAGAGTACAGGTGAGGGCAGCTTGAAGGCGCCGTTCTATGAAACCGATTACAAGACAAACCTTCTCTCAAGTTCAAGGCTGAACTACATTTCAAGTTGTTCTGGGAAATGCAGGACCGTGTCTGCTCATTGCGCCGGACCTGAAGACCTGGAGCGTCGTGTGTCCTCGTTTCCCGGTATCAGTTTGGTTCGAATTTGAAGTTGAACGGTTGAATTTGTCATTGTCATTTGAAGACCGGAACCCGAGAACCCCGAAGCATCAAAAGAAGCATCGGCACAGCCGCTGCCAAGGCCTTTTTTCTTTGTCCTACACATCGAGCTCCGCCCTCCGCCTAGAGTTGAACGTTGTTGCGGTTGGATACGCAACGAAAAATTCGAGGTTTGCATTTAAGCCTTCCTCTTCATGCCTCCTAGTCAACGTCCACGATGCTAACCGTCCGCGTCGAGTTTCGGAGAGTTTGTGACTCACTGGGACTCAGAACTTCCCCAAGGACCTGGCGCTGCCGGCACATGCGGTCATGTTCGACCGCTCAGCTTCAACCCCTTTGCGATGACCTACCCGTTGCGTGTAACCAATTCCACGGCCTGCGAGGGTGACCACAGCCAAGGTTTGCAAAGCCCTCATTCGTCGGACCAGCTATTTTCTCCTGCAAGTAGTGTCTGTTGAAAGGATCAACGTCGGGCGAGAAGCGCGTTATCGAACTGAACTGACGCCCCCAATCACCACACGTGCTGCGACTTGATAGTCAGCCTCTCAATTAGAATGGACGCTGCCGCGGCCAAAGGCGGCGGCATGAGGCTCCCGCGAGGATTAAGTGGCTCCCGGGACGGCTAGTCTCCCTATCTCTAATTTACACCACACTGCATTCCGACACCTCTCGCATGGGCGTGCGTCTTCTCCGCTTCCCGTCGCGATAGCACCTGATTGAACCCACGCAGCTGATCATCGATCTCGTGGGTCTCGTCGCACAAATATATAATGAGTCTCTGTCGCGTCTGCAAAAACCATAATCACCATGCTTTTCTGCTGGCTCGTGTCGCTCGCGACCGTCTCGTCTGTCCTGGCCGCCAAAGGCGCCGGCCAGATTTCCGTTCGCAACGGCGTGATTGGCGGTGTGTCTACCACTCCGAAAGCACCGGCACCAGCAGTGGCGCCGACGTCGTTCGCGACCACCCCAGGCGCGCTCCGTGTCGTGGAGAACTCTGGCATCTGCGGTGGGTGATTTTCTCAACAGGATATCATTTCTCCGGTGTTGATCAGATGCGCACTTTGCAGAAACGACGCCTGGCGTGTTTCAAGCATCCGGGTACGGTGATATCGCGTCCACAAAAAGCATCTTGTTCGTCCACTTCCATGCACGCGAATATTTGTATTGATCTAGACTGTATTGTTCAGCTTCTGGTACTTTGCGGCACGCAACAACCCCGCAACCGCCCCGCTTTCCCTTTGGTTCAATGGCGGGGTGCGTGTTCCCTTCCCGCTGTTTCCGTCCCTCTCTCTTCATAGTATCTAATCTCTGTCGTACACCCAGCCCGGCTCCTCCTCCATGATCGGCCTCCTGCAAGAAAAC